AGTATTTTGTAAGCGATGAAGTCATTTATAATAGTCTAATTTCGAAATGGTTCTCTCATTTTATCAGAGGAAAGTCATTGAGGACGAAAGAGAACGTGAAATTGTTGAAGAACGTGAAAGGGCTGCAAAAGCCTTAGCAGAGATAACAGGTTGGTTTTTAAAGGGCTAGATTTGTTCTGTACTGCGACACGAGCGTTTCTAAGCCCGTGAGAAAGTCTGAGTCCTTGGGTAAAGAGGGCTGGCGAGAATTCGGCGAGGTGTCTGGCATTAATCTTTATTAGTGCCAGACCTTCGGTAAACCTCTCGGTGACTCGTCTCTAATCTTCCCGCGGGTGGAGAAATGCGCATGCAGCAGCGCTTATAAGGGCATCCTCCAGGCGGCCTCCCTTGAGAGGAGCTGATGGCTATCAACGCTTTTTTCTCAATAGAGCTTATTCAAAAGGCTAAAGAAGCAGTCGAGGAGAAGAAGCGAGAAGACTTAAAGATGTTAAAAGAACAAATGGAAGAGGCATTTAAGGTTTGTTGACTCCGATCAAATTTAAAGTTCTCTTTAAGACATCGAGTCAGTCTTGCTTGTAATGATAATTATAAGAAGTCCTTTACTGAATACGTCTAGTGTAGGAGGAGAAATAGCCTGGGAAGACTTTCTAGAGCTTTTTAGCAAAATTTGGAAATCTTCCGCGAAAGTACAGAATTCTCTCTGATCTGTTTGGTGTGGCGCCATGAAAGGCATAACCAAGGAACCAGGGGGAGGGGGGGAGGCGTGTCGTGCGGTGGATATGAGCCCCCCTCCCCTTTAGTTGTTAAGGTGCTGATCAAGGTGGTATAGCATCCCCTTCATCACTTGAAATTCCTTTTCGTGCCAGACCCCTCGCAGACTTCGCACGCTCACATCGCTTGCCTGCTCGAATCTTGTGGGCCAGAGTCTCTTGCCCATTGGCTCATCTGCCGTCGATTACTCGTTCCCAGGCTTTTTATGCTAAATCTGAACCCTCACTAAGTTAAGGTTACTAAACCAAACGGAGCACAGGCAGTAACTTTCCAAAATTTTATTGCCTCTGACAGCATAAGGCCTTGGCGAGAGAAGAGGAGAGGGAGGAGGACATTAAACGTTTAAAAGCAGCGAAAGACAAGGAGGTCACTACTGCAACAGTTGAAGAAGAGATAAAGAACAAAGCAAGGTATCGATGGTTTCCATATCTTTTCAGTTTTCCCAAGTGTCCTCGCGGCGTAGTTTTTCTTTTTTGTCGATTTGGAACTAAGTGGTCGTCACTGTGAGCTCTGGTAGTGCGTGGAGTGTGCTACAGCCAGTTGGATTGGAGGCGCTTTTTCTTAGCCTATTAGAAAACATAGTTGTCGTTTGAGTCACGTGATGTTCCCGCGCTTAGTACCATTTGTACCCTATTTCCCGCCCTTGGTATGATCGTGATTGATAAGATTTCCGTGTTTGCAACTAGTTCCTTTGGTGTCAAGATGCAAATTGCACGAAGTCGGTTTCCTTAAGATCTCACTAGAGTGGAGGTGAATTCTCTGAGTTCCTACAAAATTCGAATTTTTAAATTTTTTTCACAGGGAAGAGCTCATCAAGTACTATGAGGAACTCAGCCGTGAGGTGGAGTACCGAGAGTTTCGTGCCCAATGGCACATCCGCCGTCGGTTACTCGACCCTGCTAGAGCCCAGTTCTTTGTGCAGGAGCAGGCTCGGTTAGACAGCTTACAGGAGCAGATGACACAAGCGTCTGGTACCCAGACTTCTAATGAAATAACGGATGAAAGCGACGAACGGCGTGAGAAACGATTCGAAGAAAAGTCTGTTTCCAAGGAAGAAAGAGCGTCCACTCCACTTTCGGCTCCCAGTCCAAGCCTTGTATCACTTATAGCTAGTGGCGTAAAAACAGATGCCTTGGTTAGAGCAGGGCACACGAACTTAGGCGAAAGCACGCAGTTCGACAGGGATGCTGGATCGCACTCGGAGGAATCTGCTTCGGAAAACAGAGTCAGAAGGACTTGGGACAGCCCTGCTGAGAGTGTTGTCGAGCTTGGGAAGATGACTGAAGCAGGTTCGGGCAGAAAGACTTGGGAAGCCCCACCCGATGGTGAGGTGAAGATAGCATCTCCTCTTCCCAAGAGCCATCCTTCCGATTCCTCCATACAGTTTGCCATGTATAGCGACAAACGTAAGACTAGCGGAGAAAGCGAGACGCCAGATTATGGTTTACACGATCGCAATTTAAAAACCAGCACTCCTCACGTTGGTGATTCATCTTTGCAAAACGTTTTGTATCCCACTACACCCTCAAACTCGACATTAGGCCTGGATGCTGAGTCTGTGACCGTGGTAACCCGGCCTTCAGATGTGAACGTTCGTGGCCTTGTTTCGAGTCATCCCTCGGATTCTTCAGCCCAAGACATTTTATACGGCAACAGCGCAATGGGAGCGGCGTCTGAAGTTCGAACGCCGTCCGCACAAGGACATCCATCCGATTCCACTGCCCAGTACCTTCTAAACACTAGCGGTACCCAGGAAGGAACCATTTCTGAAGCTCGTTCTTCGGAACATGGACACCCCAGTGACTCATCTGTAAGCGGGTTGTTGTACCCCGATACTCTGGACACACCCAATCCACAGACTCTTTCTTACTCCCAACATGGGCACCCCTCAGATTCCCAGATGACTTTTTCACACGGCGACGGTGTAGCCCAAGTTATCCAGCGCAGTTCCAGGCAAAATTGGCAACACCCTTCCGACGCCTCTATTCAGAAGCTTTTAGGAGACATCGATGTTTTGGGTGACAGCCAAAATACGACCCGTGGTACCCCTCCCTCGAGCGTGGTTCAAGATATTCTCTATCCTAAACCTGATGGACAATCAACACCTGCTCAGGATATCTTGTACCCAAGAGAGGGAGAGTCAGAACAATCAAATAGACCGGTGCACACTCGTGGAGCCCCTCCCCAAAGTGTTATTCAGGACATATTGTATCCAAGTGGGGAGGGGGCAGTAGGAGAGGGGACAAGGTTGTCAACACGTGGCCAGGAGCCTGCTGGGAAGATAAAGAATATTTTGTATTACGTTAAAGAGAAAGAAGGTGAGTCAGAAACGATCTTGTGACCAATTTTTCGTTTCGTCTTTGAGGAATATCTCAGCTTTGTAAGGGAAAATGTGAGATGTATTTCTATCAAAGCTGTCAGAGTGGAATTTTCTCACCTTTCTCTTTGACATTTTCTTATTTCTTAGCGAACGATCCCGAATTGTGTCATTTACATGTGTGTAGGTACACTGGTGAAAATCTGAAATCTGATCTAAACAATGTTTCCCCTTACATGACTACCCTCTTGCAATCTTTATCAATTATCGCGAGCTTTAGTCAAAGTCCTTCTGCGCCACTGATTATTTTTTAGGTTTAATTAAGAATTTGACCATTTCCTGGTACAATTTGGTACTGCTTACCGTTTCTGTCGCTTTGTGTGTGTTCTCTAATGATTTCATTTTAGTCAACCAGAAACATTCCGTACTTGTTTCGTGAACTTTGGAAGGTTTTGAGGGCAAATGTTGAAATCGTCGTTGCCAGCGCGCGAAATTCGCATTTAACCAAGTGTGGGAGATGTGAAGGGAAAAAAATGTGGCCTGTTTTCTGAGCCTACATCAACTTTGTTTTGGTAGGGGAAACCTTACAGCCACAATCAAGGCAGTTGGAGTTTGAGGATGTTTGGCTAGCTTCTCAGGTGGAGCCTCTTCAGGACAACTTTAATGTGTTGGGTAAGTCAAGCGACGAGATTTCAGAAGGGGAAGTTTCAAAAGAAACTGTGGTGCCGTGTCGTTGGGGGGAGGGGAGGGGGGGTCAACAAGATAATTGGTTATTGTGTAAAGCGGCCACTGTAAGAGAGGTTCTAAAGCCGACGTTTCGAGCGTTACTTCTTTATCAGAACGAAAGGAGGATGGACGCTCGAAATGTCAGCTCAAGAAGAAACTCTTTACGGTGGTCAATTTTCATTATCAACTCAGTTTATAAAACGAAATTTTCTTGTTATACTCCCCTACCGACGCAGCACCACAGTTTCTTTAGAAACTTACCCCTTTATTCGTGTCTAGGAAAGTTGCTTCTCGTGAGTTCATCTCTGTTTTAATTTGAAATCTTTAATTTTTAGATCAAAAACCGTTATCAAATCTCCTGCGAGGCGCCATGGGCACATTTCCAGTATCGCAAGGTACAGTATTAAGCATTAAACTGGATTGTTCAGATTTTGTCTTCGTCGTATTTAGAAAGATCTGGATTATGAGATTAAGACTTTTCAAAGCAAGAGATGCCTCTTCTTGGCTTGAGAGATCGTTTTGATACCTGCACTCTCAGGCACATTCCTTGGGGAATCCTTTGCCTATCCTCCCCCTTTCAATGTTGTTCCGCAAGTTGGCACAGAAACATTGGCAATTGACGACATTGGAAGGGAGAGAGGGGTGAAAAAATGCTATGGGAGTAGTTCTGGATAAGTGTCCCAACTAATTATGTCTAGGATTGTGGCTATTCCCTATCTGAACAAATATACAAACAAATCTTTTTTTATTGCTCACTTAAGAGATATTGCAGTGAAATGAGAAAATCATTCACACGCAATTTTTAACCAAGGTGTCTTATACAGCTGCAAACAACAACACAAGGTAGTAAGTCGTGGTGTCTTAAAAGCGTATAACTTTTTTGTTCAAGTAAAAGCTGAAAACAAAATTGATAAATCAACAGAATATCAGTACTTGAATAGGCCTCGTGTTCTAAAAGTGTTGTGTTTTCCTTTTCCCTACTTTTGTTTCCTTTTGCAGATTTCTATGAACGTTCTTTCGCTTATTTTGCGAGACAGCACTTGTTTCTTATCTTTTCCTTTGAACTTTTGCGCGGGAAATTGGGGCCGGCCAGAATTTATCTCCTCACGCATGTTCTACGTTTGACCGCTGTGTTGAAGTAACAATACACCTAGTTGCTTGTTGCTTCGGAAACCGCGATAGGTTCCGGCAGTATTTGACCATTACGCAGGTGAGACGTGAACCTCGTTCCTCCTTGTGAATGGTATTTCGAATTTCTAGTCACTCAGAAATCTAAACCTGAAAGTATAAAAGTCAGGGAATATTTTTGTTCTGTTTGCAGGCTCAGATGCTGATGAGAATGACACGGATGCAGCGCGTCTGATGTCACTTCCGGTTTTACTTCAGCGATCTGTCATGGCGCCCCTTTTAACCCAGTAAGTTGTTCGTTAGTTTCTATTTGTTACTTTCAAGACCCTGTTTCCTTGGAAAAGATCTTCATTGGGATTGATACTTTGTCATTCTCTGAAAAGAAATTTAAAATCCCAGTGTATTTAATGAGCTGAAGTACGCGCGCATTTTGATTGTATTTCATGTTCTGTTGGAGGACCGACGCATAAATGGCGACTCCATTAACATTTACACCATTTTGCTTCTTTATGATATATAACGAATAGATTCTGTTTTGCCTTAGGTCTGTTTAGTAATAGATCACAGAAGACAACAAAACCTGGCCAGAACTTCAGTGAGACATTCGGCTGCGCCTTGTGTGCCATTTTTTTGATCTTACCACACTTTGACGCTCGACAACGTGGAATCTATCAGTTAGATTTGTCATCGTATCTCATTTCCCCTGCTCTGTGTATAACAATGTATTTTCCTTTCTTACTTTCTAGGATATCCTTGGTAAATTCTGCTATCGTGACGTATTTTATCCAAGACTTGCACATCAACAGACACTTTGATCTGTTCAAGAAGCTGCTGT